GTCAAATAAATACGGAGCCTCCCCCCGGCTTCCTATGACGCTGCCGCGCACAGTTAGGATGCGGAGACTCAGTATCAAGCGCTACCTCCGGGAATTCTAGTGGAGTCCCCCGTGTCCCTTGCGTAAAACAACAGCCGCTTTCAAACTCGGGTGCGTCTGCCGAGCGAGGGCCGCGCGTCTGCGGCTGTTTTGGGTTGAAAATGCTCCTCTGTGGGTTTCAAGGATTTGGGGGCTGCGGCAAAATCTGACCAATCAGGTTTCCTGACACATCCCTTCTCTCCTTGGCCCGTCTCTAGCGTTCACCGCCATTTTCCACAGCTTGAGTCGGGGGGGGGGGGCTACTCTGCGAGCCAGACAATGCGGCAAAGAGGCCACGGGCGGTAGAGGTAGCGGGGCACGGGGCTGTGCTCTTCTTTCCTTCATTTCACTCTGATTGCCGTTTCTGCTTTGGTTGTTTGTTTGTAAATAAATACAGATTTTTGCATAATTATGAGATGATGAGCGTTGCTATGATTGATCACTCGGAAATGCGATTATTCGGAGACCTAAACTCCATCTCCATAGCAGCGAGGATGAGAAACCGAAGCTGTAAATTGAAATGGAAACAATTTTCCTCCTCCTGGTTGGAAGGGGCAATCAGTCCAGGTTCTGATATGATATGAAAATTATGTATATAGTCATCTTCATGGTTACAGTATAAGAATTATTTACAAACCTTTAGACTATTGAGAAACTTGGGTAAAAATAATTGAATTGTGAAATAAAGAGCTAAGGAATATATCAGCCATTTCCAGTTTGGCCTCTGCTGCCATCTACTGGCTGTTTCAATTAATTAGTTTAAATCTTGGAGATTTTTAATGAGTCATCTTTCTGTTCTGATATTTTATCGTTGTCAATAGTAGGATTACCTATGTGTTGTATACTGGATTGTTTTTCCCATCGAGAAAAAGAGAAAAGAAGGGTATAGAAACTCAATGTATGATTTGTTTGAAATATATTAAATATAAAAATATGGCTATACACATTATTCCCTTATTTGAAATGTGTATACATTTTGATATATGTTCAACATACTCACCAATTTACTGCAACAAAACAGTGTCAATATATTTTGTGCTAGACCTTATTTGTTAAAGGAATAAAGGTTGTGTGGAAGAGGTAGGGGGAAAAGATTTAAAATGCTAGTTTCCCTTAATTTCTCAAATAAAAAAGATATAGATGTGGCACATGACATGAAATTTCATAGTATTAGCATGTCATGTACTTGAAATGCACCCATCAAAAATGTTCATCTCTTAGTTTGCATCCACATTTTCCGTTTCTCATTTAATTACACTATTTTTGGTATTCCTATTTCTGATAAATCTCTCAAAAAACATTCTCGCCCTCCAGTGTGATTTTCATACAAATTTCCAGTGAGATGATTTACCACTTAAATTTTAATGCAAGGCTTTATATTGCTTAATTTTAAATGAATGGTATGCCTTCCATTTACTTAAATGGATGAAGAATTAGGATCTCTGAATATTGTTCTCCTTTCTTAACTTTTTCTATTATGTTAATTTTCATCTAGGAAACGTATTCATCTCTGATATACCAAAATAAGGAAATATATAACAGCTTTCAGTATAAGGTGGGTACACAACTGGATGAAAGTTACCAATAGTTCTCCATCAGCTTGGGATGATGCACTAGAGAGTTCCCACATGGGTCAGTCCTGCATCTGTTCCTATTCAATATTTTCATTAATGACTTGAATAATGGAGTGGAGAGTGTGCTAATAAAATGTGCAAATGACACCAAGCTGGGAGGGGTTGCAAGCACTTTAGAAGAGAGGATTAGACTTCAAAATGATCTTGACAAACTAAAGAATTGGTCTGAGATTAAATCCAATAAAAAGAAGTGCAAAGCACTTCACTTTCAAAGGTAAAATCTAATTCAGAGCTACAAATTGGGGAAAACTGGCTAGGTGGTGGTACTGCTAAAAATGATCTGAGTGTTATAGTAGATCACAAATAGAATGTAAGTCAATGGTGGTTGGTGAGATGAAGGCAGCTGGGAGATGAAGGGAGTTAGCCAGTTGAATTTGCCTGCAGAGGGAGGTAGGGTTGTGGTTTTTGTTTTTGTTTTTTGTTTCCTTAAATTGCAGGTACTCTCCAAAGAAGAACCCGCCATGGGAGGAAAACTGTGTCACCAACACCATTTCTAGCTCTTCCCCTGCCTCCACTTGTGGGGGGGGGGGAGCTCTGCCAGATAGGCATCCTGATCTTCAAGGCTTCCACCCAGGCCCTGGTGTGTACTTATTGGGAATGCATCCTGTGTTGCCATGGCAATGAAAGCCAGGCAGGGGGGAACCAACAGGTGTAAGAGGTGTCTGTTAGTGGAGTCCCTCAGGAATCAGAAAAGAAAGCTGCAGGAGTAGATGGCTCATTTACATGTCATCCAGGAGCATGAGGACTTCTTTGTCAGGATGCACATGGGGACACCTGGGATGGTGGATGCTAGCTGACTACAGCTAACTGCAGCAGCACGAGAGGAGGAAGGAGAACTGGCTGTTCTGTGAGGAGGAGACAGGTTGCTGAACACCTTGAGTAGTAGACAGTTCTCCACCCACCACTCCCGTCCCCCATCCATTGAGCTAAAGAATCAGTCTGCTGTACTGGCAACAGGAGCAGACCTCAATGACTGAGGAGGAGGAGCAATTTGTCCCCAATCCTGGGAGGCTCATGGCTAAGGCTACGATTTAGTCATGGGTGTTTTTAGTAAAAGTCATGGACACGTCATGGGCAATAAACAAATATTCATGCCCGTGATCTGTCCATGACTTGTACTATAAATACCCCTGACTAAATCTTAAGTGATCTGGGGGGCTCCAGGATGCTGCAGGTACTCGGGGGTGGGGGCTTCCAGCATGCTACCGCTGCTGCTCCAGGGGGGCGGGGGGAGAGCGGCCCAGGGCCCTGACGCTGCTGCTCTGGGGAAGGGGGGTGGCCAGGGGCGCTGCTGTTGCTCCCAGACTGCTGCTCCCTGGCAGTGCCCAGGACCAGATGCTGGGGGCCACCTGAGCAGTGGCTGGTGCAACTGTCCCCGGGGCCACCCCAGCTGCTCGGGCAGCCCTGGGGTCAGCTTTGCCAGCTGCTGCAGAAGTCATGGAAGTCCCGGGAAGTCAAAGAATTGGTGACTTCCATGAACTCCATGAAAGACTCGTAGCCTTACTCATAGTCACTACACCCAAGAGGAGGAGTCAGAGTTCTGGTGGCTGGGG